GGGGGGGGGTGGGAGTACAGCATGTGCTGCAATCACCATTGTGCATCATTTTTTTCACCATCTGCATCTTCTTTATCATGACATTCAAACACTGACCCAAGGCTGTTGCTACTTTGAATACATTTTCCTGGTTTATGTTTGGTTATGTTCTATTCTACACTGTTGTATATGTATAAGTCTGTTCAGTGGGTTGTGATCTCAGCATGTTCTCCACATATTCATGACTCAATTTGTAGCTTTTTAGAGCTTCTCTTTCTTCCTCCTACTCACACTGGCAGATGGGCAGGGGGAGCTGTCATTGTTCAGCCAGATTACTTCCGCTACTGTTACATAGGGTACAAGCACACTAGTATCTTGATTATTATCAAAAAGATAAGGCTCAAAACTGGGATACTAATGAGCATGTTAGCACACTTACTCGCATTTGCACTCATACACACACACACATGCAAATAAAGTAGGCCCATTGGTCTGTAGCGACTGGCTGCGTGTAATCAGCGTCTTCCTGTGCTTTGTTTGTAAGGGGCTTCATGCAAAGAAGGACATGGGAGGCCTCACGTTCACGTGAACCGACATGTGACCGATGGAAACAGGGCGCGCTGGACGGCACTCAATGAAAAGAGTCAAATACGGACGTTGAAACAAGATAGCCGAACTGCCGATCTGTGAATGTATAGCCGAACTTTACGGCTATAAATACATTCCAATATTTGAGAACCATGTATGTTTTTGGAAATTTGGCTTTCATACTATTCTGACGCACTTTTTAAAAATACTTTAGGAATTTGTTTGGAAAAGGATCCGTTCATTGCTATCGTCAAATAATGAATATGCTGTATCCTTGAAAGAAGTTGCTGCATAACTTTGAAGTTCAGCTGAACTGTCATGAAACTTACTCCACGGCACCTGCTGCAATGAATATAAAGCAGCACCTGCTCGTGTCAGGTTTTCAGCCCTGACAGGTCCAGGCTTTTATGGTTTCACCTGGTCAAAGTGTACCTTGACTGGGTCAAACAGGGCGAAGCGGGATCCCTGCTCCCCTTCCAACCCCCCCCCCCCCCCCTGCGACTGGCTGAAGGAAGGGACAGCTGCTCTGCGTCAGCCCAGGAGAGTGGCGAGTGCGGGGCCGATCTCCTCTCAGTGCATAAGGATTTCAGCTATGTCTCCATTAGACCCCAGTGAGCACACATCGGCACCAAATATAGCCCAATTAACGTCACCACTCAGGCCACGCCTTGCTAACCCTTGCTGCTCCCCCTCCAGGGTGCTGTGTGTGAACCAATCATAAAGGTCAGGGTCCCATTCCCTACGACCCTCTCTTTCCTTTTGAAGTACACACTCCCAATCTGCTATGAGTCTGAAATGCCAATTACAAACAACAAGGAGTTTAGACCCCGTTTCTTACCCTTAGAGGACTTATTAGAAGCTGTGGGATGTGGGTAAGTGAGAATATTTCCACTGTAGAGGTAGACATTGAGGAAGCAAAGCAGAATAGTTTGGGAAAGTCACACAAATTCTGTCAAATGCTTGGTAGTCAGATTGAGCGGCTTTGTCTCACTGTAGCATCGAGATATACAAATCGACAAATACAAAAATTGATTCGACACCTACTTGGAATATTTCAAAACAGTGCATTTTTTTCTTTGAAGTTAACAACAGTAATGGTCATTTTGCCAGGAAGCTGCACATAGGGGAAACTGTTTGCACTCAAACATGGTTTAACCTGCCAAAGCACAAAGTTCATTTCAGATTCCCAAAACTGCTCTTATTGTCTGGAAGATACAAACTTATACAATAACTTTCATAAACTAAAAATATAATTTATGTATAAGAAATGTTTTCTTATTTTTGCAGGTGCCTGTCTGGCTTTCGGCTGGGCTTACCAGACACGCTTATGTAACTGAACTGAACACTGCAGCTCAGATGTCGCCCCGCGCTGCACATTATTATGACATCGCCTGCTTTCTCATTCATGATCTGACTTATAAGGCAAGGACACTCTCCGCGCAGACCTGTGAACCCGGAGATAACCCCCGGCCTGCCAAGCATGATCGCCGTTTTCCACAACACAAACAAGCCGCAGGATGTCTCTGGCCCGGGCTGGCCATTTCTGCGGCTTAGTGGAGGGACGTGCGTGAATGGGTCCCATTGTCAATCTATGTGTCACCCACTATTTTATGGTGGCTGTTGGCAAGGGCCCAAGGTCGACTAGCTCATAGGCCTAAATATATTACAAAGAGTGGAAGAGGCAACTCTAGTACAGATCTTACGCTGTAAGTAAAAATAAAGAAAAAAATGTATGACATAGCAACTATGGCACTCCTATCCATGCAAATGACGGATTTAGAACAATTTCAAATGACTAATTTAACCTCTTTGACCAAAAAGGATTTGTACCCCTCACTATTTGTGTAGTATTATATGTCTGGTATTGCCTTGTAAAACTCTGCTTACCTTGTAAATGAACTAAACAGAGTTCAGTCGACACCCCCCTGTGAGCGGCTGTATACTATGGCAGTGTGCATGTTAAACCTCTACGCAGGGGAAAGATGAGAACTACTTGGTACTGGGAGCAGTCGGTATCATTGACCTTCATGTACATACCGTACCTGAAAGACAACTCTACAATTCACTAAAGTTTAGAGAGTATCTCCGAACTGTAACAACATGCCTTTGAGGGCAAAGAAGAGGTTTCCGTCCAGAATACACATACACAGGCCCCCATTGTAGCGTCAGAAGTCATCCTCAATACCTCTCTAGTCTTTGATTACAGTCCTGCAACTGTAATCAGGAACTGTGTAAATGTCCCACTGTCGGGGGTGCAACAACTCAGATGTTAAACCAGGCTACTGTGATAATCTTAGCACGGAATGCAACTTCATCTCTGGGTCAGTCACTTCTTGTCTGAAATGTCAGAAAACCTTGTTTGCATTCATAGCCTGCCAAGGGTTCATGGAAATGTAGCCACTTGAAATATAGTCAAAGTATTGTATTTCATCACACACGCTGACCTCCCTAACCCCTCAGTGCACCTGCAGTCCAAGTGTTTCTTTCCCATTGAGAGAGTGGGAAAGTATCTAGTATCTTCGTGTCGCTGCTAAGGCTGTCCACACTTTGCCTCTAGGAACACACTTTAAAATATCAGACAGGCGCTGTGTATGAAGACTTGTTGTTAAAGGTTACCTGGCTGGTAGAAGTTGGGGGCGAGCTCCCTAGCAACAGCCCTGGCAATTTCCGAGTCGTGCACAGCAGAGATGGCGGCCTGGTCTGCAGCCTCGCTTTTTGTCCTGGCATGGGCCGTTCTGGAAAAAGCACATAGAGACAATAGACTATAATAGAGTTGCACGGTAACTCCAAAGTAAAGACATAAAGAGGATGTGTGGCACCATGTTTGAAGGAGCTGTGATAGATATCGAGAAACATACACAAACTATTGTTTAACTGGTCTGCGACTGTGCCTGCATGCTGCCATGTCATCCATGACACTTACATCATCATCGGCTTTTCATCCCCTACTATCATTTTCTCTTTCTCGCTCCTCCTCTCTTTCCATACCTCCCTCTTTCTCCTCATCTTTGAGCTGTATCACTCAGCCTGTCCCTCTTGGGGATAACATAACACCTCCCCTTGTGCTTCTATCGCAAATCCAAATCCTGATTTTCCAAATGGAGCGCAGCCACATCCAAGCAAGACCTTAATCCAGTCTGGAGCTCTGCACTGCTGCTGAACCACACTGGAGCAGAGCCCAAAAGGCAGGCGCACGGACACACGCAGGCACGCACACACACACACACACACACACACACACACACACACACACACACAATCACATGATATGGTATGACATGGTATCATATATATGGAAATTCTTTATTAGGAATAACCCCTTGAAATGTCATTCATGGGGATCGTCCTCAACGACAAGTAGACAATACAAGCACAATTAGACAAAAAACTAAAATAACAACAAGATAATTAAATGATACCATATATGTGTACATATATACTTACTATTTAATATGTATATAAATATTAAATAATAAGACAAAATCAGGAGGGCATACTCAAACAGAGCATGAAAATGGACAACTGATCCTATAATAAGAAGACAGGAAAGATGATATTTATTTACAGGTAGATTATTCAAATCAGAGAGAGCTTTAAACATAAAGGCGTTCTTAGCTGTTGACTTAAAACAATATAAACTTATACAAACAGCAGGTGGTGTAGTAATGGCTAAGTTTCATTCCCATGCCAGTCAGCAGCAAAATAAATATATATATATTTTACAACATTTCAAAGACCGTGGGAATCCTAAGGGAGGTGTTTTCAACTCTACTCAATAAGCATCCATCATAAAAAAATAATGACAATACGTAGCAGTGCCTTAACACCAGCAGCCTGCATCCACGTGTACTATACTATGCTGATGCTCAAAAGCCAAAAGGCAGAAGAGTAATACTTTCTGGAATCCATGTGAGCTTAGCATTAGCACTCAGAGATATTATGGGAGTGTAACATGGTGAGGCAGACAGAGGCCCGAGGGGGTGACCTGCTTAACAAATCCCTTGAAAAGTCAACCGCAAGATACTGTACATGTAAACGCGGTTGTGCAAACACAGAGCCGTTATTATAGGAGGACGTATTCACTGGCAAGGAGGATGTTAACAGTTACAACACACTGCCGCCACCAGACTCCCTTCAAAAAACACCTAAATATGCAAAAATATGCATCAGTTAGAGCTAGTGGATTAGTCGCTTTCAGTACGAGTGCACCTCTTACACAATACATGACAGTGCAACATGGAATGCAAGGATCCAGATGGACTGTCCAAGTATCACTGTAAGTATTGACAGCTGTGCCTTGTGCCCTGCTTAACCCCACTCATCCATCTTCCTCTCCCTCTTTCCTTCACCATCCCCTCTTTCTTTCAATCAATGCTTCCGGTTTTTGTTTTTTTCCGATTCCTTTTTCATCTGTCTATTGACGCTGCATCCCCTCATCCTCATTACTCCCATCCCTCCCTCCCTCCCTCTGTCTTTCTGTCAGAGTGACCCCAACAGACAGATGTCTCTATTTCAGACTACTTCTCTGTCCTTGGACTCTGGGCCGTCCTGTTTTTTTTTTCATGCGCTGGGACAGTAAGCCATTAAAATGCATTAGGAGCCATATGCTGGCTGGAGAGAGTCCCTGCTTCACCCACGGACAAAGGACACATTCAGGGTGTGTTAACAGCCTCTTGAAAACACTGACCAGCTGCAGATAAAAATACGATTTAATAAATTATAACATATCCGACAATGCTTTGCTTCTTTCTATGAGTTATTAAAAACACGTAGGAATTTCACTGGTGTGGCTCAAAGCAGCTTACTTACAGTCTTAATAAAGAGCACTTCCCTGTTTAAAACTGACATTGAAGCATTCCAGTTATATCACACCACTGACATGTATACCGTAGACATCCACTTGCCACGCATGCTGCCACAAGAACATACATGCTTCTATTTCTGAAATGTGTCAAAGGTACAGGCAAATGAAAGGAGGCATGAATGCCTCATGAATGTATACAGCGTGCCCGGGACATATCCTAAGGATTTTAACAGTTCCTTTTAGGTACAGTGGGCATGAAGTCACGGGCAGACCCAGGAAGCCATGCCGACTGTTCACAGACAGGACGTCTGGTCGTGGGAGGTGACAGGCAGAGAATGATGGGAGTAGAGGTGTGATCGAGCAGTGGAACAAGAGTGAAATGAGAGGTGAGAAAACATGGACAAGTGGAGCGTAGAGACGAAAGGGTTGGTTGGTTTTCTTCCAGGCATCGGAGAATTTCATCTCACGCTCACTTTTAATCAAACTAACGAGCGACACCAGCACCTTCCACAATGCATGGACTGTTAAACCTGCAATGATTGATTTTTTTTGTCCACTTGAGGGCAGCGCAACAAGCGGTACACACAACGTTGAAATGATATCGTCCAATATTCACTGTCGGGCTCTTTAGCTGCTAAAAGCTTCTCTGTGCTCACCAGCTAGTCTCTAACTTTGTCCGTCAGCCATAAAGTGCTTGGCAGGTAGTGTACAGTGAGATTTTCAGAGCTTCTGCATCAACAACAGCTGCCTCAAATGGTTAAAAGCAAAGGACATGAGAGCGGTGAGAGGCTTTTAAACCAAAACAATGAGAAAGATGATGAAATGCTTCGTATAGCTGAGGGAAATTGCGTAGTAAGGGTTCGTCACTTCGAGCAACCCCTTTCAAACTGCACACATTCCTCTGTTAACGTTAAAATATTGCTTGCAGCACCTTTAATATGCATTACCCTGTGAGCTTGTGGCTTGAAATTCCCATCGACAATGTGCAGGAGCACGCATGAAGACAGACAAACGTTTTTTCAGGCCAAATTATGTAATGCACTGTCACACATACAAGGCAAAACAAAGTCCGGGTAAACAACAATATGCAAGCTCACGATTGACCTTTGAAAAAGTTTGAGGTTCTATTACTTTGTCAGCAGTCTGCAGCCTCCCTGCTAGAAGCAGATCTGCCTCTGAATATAAAGCAACACCTGTTCATGTCTAGTTTTGGGCTCTGCCAGCACTCCTGTCAGGTTGAGAGCTGGGGATGGGTCCAAGCAAATCAAGGTATTTAAATCCGTAAATGCACCTGCTGGCACAAATGCAAATATCACACAAACACACAAACGCACACACATACACACACACACACCAGTTTTAGAAATTTGGACAAAGTGTAGAAGAGAGCAAATACTTTAAAGCAATTGTTTTGGACTGAAGCCCCGCTCGGGAGATGATATTGATGAAAGCCGAGTGAGATCCATGGTTATTTCATTACTGTGACAAATGAATTGCTTGTTGAAGTGTTGAGTCAGTTTGGCAGGCAGTGTGGCGGGTGCGGCTCTTTGTCTCCGTGGATTGTGTGTCTATGTGTGTGTGTGTGTGCGTTTGAGATAAAGAATGAGGGCGAGAAAGGTAAAAACACAGACCAAGTAAAAGGTATGGAAATGGAAAGAAGAGACGGAGCTGCAGAGAGGTATTTAGAACTGCTGAGTTATACTTCTCAGTCCCTATAATTTTACTGTAGGGTTCAATTTCAAACCCAAGCTCACATGCGGCACGGTCCCGCCTCCTTTAAGGTTTTTCATAACTAGGCCTCCCGCAGAACACCGTATGTTTGTATCTATATTATGTGCCTGTTGTGTGTGATCGTGTTTGTGTGTGCATATTCCCCCGAGTGAAGCTTCAGTCCATCACTCCCCAGGCTGTGGCCTATTTGAGGAATCTCCCTCACATATGCTGACACAGTTCTGCACCCGCCTTCGTCCACCCTTTTGCTTCTTCCAATAAGGCCCCCCCCCT